GCCAGCCCTTGTGCATGCATGCCCAAGATCCTGAGAGAATAGAGGACCAGGGATTGTGGCATGGCCATCCCTACCCCAGAAGGGGAAGGGAGGTGATTTTTTGCTTTCTGCCTCTCTATTGAGTGAGCACACCCTATAGCAAAAATCTCTCTTAAAAAAAAGAAAAGAAAAGAAAAGAAATGGCATTTGTGAGGGCCAGCAAGTGGTGTGGCAGTTAATCACTGGACTCACATGGCCAACCATGGCTCAAGTCCCAGGCCTGGTGACTCACTCTCTCTCTATCTCTCTCTGTCTCTCTCATGAGTGCACATACTCCATAGCAAAATTTCAAATAATGATAATTCTTTTAAAAATTCTGGAACTGTTAAAAAAAAAGCCCCCAGGTGCCAACCGGTAATCCATAAGGCAACTGGACCCACATGGGAAAGATCCTGCATTTGTGTTCTGGGGACCCACTGAGTACATACCCTGACACAGCTGGCTGGGGCTGGGGGATGGGTTGTGATATGGGGACCCTGTTGGGAGTATCTGTCTGTCCCTCCTCACCCCCTACCAAAAGAAAGAAACCTTTTTTTTTTTGAGAGATTTTTGCTATAGGGCACAGGTGCTCACCAGAAAGACAGAGAGAAAGTGAAAAATCACCCCCCGGGGGGATGACCACACTGCAATCCCTTCTCCATTCTCCTCTTGGGATCTTGGGCATGCACACACACTTGGGATCCTGGTGCAAGAGAAAGAAACTTTTTGAAAAAGCTCCCAAACATATTTATAAAATCTTGAGTGGTGGGCCAGCAAAGTGGTGTGGAGGCTAAGGCACTGGACTCCCAAATGGTTGACCACGTATCTAGTCCCAACCTTGTGGCTTAAAAATCACACCAGGCTCATGTGCGAGTATGCCAAAAATCCCAGGAGCAGAATAGAAGAGAAGGGTGGCAGGGTGGCCATCGCCCCTAGAGGAGAGTAATGATGTCTCACTTTTCCTTCTCACTATCAGAGTGTCACCAGCAAGTGCCCATGCTCTTTGGCTGAAAAATAACAATAAACAGTTATCTTGACCTAACATTTGTGATAACGTTTTATAATAGTCGTCTCTACCTCATCAAGAAGATGGCAGTTTTGAGCACATTACATAACCTTTCCCACACCCTGAGAGTCGATCGCCTTCTGCAGAAGTGACATGGAGTCAGTTCACCAGCTGGAAACGGGGACCAGTTAGCCAGTGCTTAAGCTAAGTCAGTCTTCCTTTCACCCTCTCTTGGCTCCTTTCATGCCTGCACCAGCTAATGGGTCAATTGGTTCAGAGTGCATGGCCACAGAGCTTCCCTCTTCTGCTCGTGCCTCTATGCAGGCCTTTCTATGTGTGCTCTGGGCAGTTTCATGTCCCTGAGCAAATACACAGAACGTTTAGCAGGTCTTGGTTAAAAGTTCTCCCCCTCATTAGTGAAGAAATAATGATCACTGACTGCCTCTTATTAGATTTGGAAAAAAAGAAATGTGTCCCTTGGAGGCTGAGTCTGAGGGGATTAGAGTGCCTTCTCTCAGCATTGAATAAAGCAGGGCCATTTCTTTAACTAGGAGCCTTGGGGATCCGGCATGAGCTACTCCCTCTGTACCCAATTCTTTCACCACATCAGTTATCAAGGCAGAAGAAAATTAATGCCCATCGATGCTTAAGTGGTCCCAGGCTGTTGCATCTCATTGCACTTCCCTGCCAATTCTTGGGGTGAGATGTCTAATAAATAAACTCTCTGGAGAGTGCTTCTAATTACACTCTGACCCAGTCTTCCTGTCCCACTTTAGATTTCAATTCTTGGGATTTTTCCAGCAGGGACCATCTGTGTATTGTGTAACATTTGGGTAACCTCCAATACACTATAGACCCAATGGAATGTTTTTCTATAGATCCAATAGATATCAGTTATGTGTCTTGCTCTTAGGTTTTGGAAAGAGAGATGGAAAAGACACTACTATCCTTGAAGGAGTAAAGGCCTAGGAAGAGTTGTGGATATAAACAATAACTAGAATAGCTAGTAGTGTGTGTGTTTCTTTTTTTTTTTTTTTCTTTTTTTAGTTTTCCTATAGGGCATGTGCACTTGCTGGAGAAGGAGAGAGATAAAGGGAAAATAAGAAAGCATCCCCTGGGAGGATGGCCATGCCACAATCCTTTCTCCTCCACTCTCCTCTCAGGATTTTGGGCACACACACATGCCCAGTAGGTTTTTCATGCCACCTGGTCCAGTATTTGAACTACCAAGTCAGCCATGTAGGGTTCAGCCTCCTTCACCACCATGTTATAGGCTGAACCTATTGTGTGTATATTATCACAATAAAACAAAAATTGAAAATGTTTCCTCTCTGTGAAGTCACTCCCAAATCCACTGCAAATTGGATTCTCTTTATTCCAGTACCAAAATGGATCTTTCTAATGTTTTCCATGCCACAAAATGGGACGGGTATTGTTCTGCCTTTATTTTACTTAGCCTTAGAGCATGGCTAATTCTCTCTCTCACTCCTGGAAACAAAACGTCCTCTAGCTCCTTTGCATGGTCAACACCACATAACCAATGTAGTCACATGGGTTCACTGAGACAGACAGACCTCTCTTTTCTCCCATGGTATTTTGAGACTCTAAATACAGTAGCCACAGGAAGATGGATCTTGTAGCAAAAACACATTCCCAAGGGCAGAACCTCTGTTTTGTTTTGTTTTAAGAATTATTTATTTAATTTTATCAACTTCTATTATGTTTAATTTGCTATAGAGCACATGCACTCACTGGGGGGGAGGGTAAGAAAGCAAGCCGCCAGGTCAAGCACTTGAACCATGGTCAGCCATATGGGAGTCTAGCGCCTTAGCCACCATACCATTCTGGCCCTCCGGGCATAACCTCTTTATCTCAAAGCTAAACCAATAATGATGACAGTTCTTTCAAGAAGGAAGAGACCCCATGGGAGCAGAGAAACCCACTTGGCCACAAAACTGCTTTCTTGGAAACAGAATCAGAACTCATGGTTCTTATCTGCCATTTGCCCTTTGCCCCAAGGGACGGGGGGCAGGGGGGGGGGTCTTGGAAAATATACATCACATTAACAATTTATTTAATGAGGAAGTACATGAAATCAGCCCCATGAGACTTGAGAAACCATAAATACTTCCCTAGCACCCCTCCCCTGCAGTTCACAGTGGTGCCTAACCCAGAGGAGGACCATTCTTGGAGACATGAGTTGAGGTGATTTCATGACAGGCTGCATCTCCCTCCTATTCCTTCACAGTCCGTCAACAGCATCCAACAGAAGAGAAAGAAGTTGTATTTTTTTTTTTTAAAGAAATACCAGGTGATTCATATTTTTTTTTTTTTTTTTTTTTTGAAAAGAAATACCAGGTGATTCACATTGTCCTAGTGAGTATTTTATGTAAAAAGGAGGATTTCAAAAAGTGGTAGTTGGCCAGCTATGGTGGTACATTAGCAACGTAATATTCTGAGATGCTGAGCCACATAGGGAGTTCCCAAGTTCAAGTTCTGAGGTCTCTGTACATGCTGGATACATGGGTACACATGGATCCCTGTAAACCTGGCTGGCTGAGGCTGAAACTGGAGGTGAATGGTAGCATAAGGTCCCTGTTGGGGGTGACCATCTCTTCTTCCTCTCTGAAGAAAGAAAAAAAGAAACTATAGAGTCAGTGTGGGAGGAGGGTAGGAAATGGGAGAGAGTGAGAAGAAGGTAATGAAGGGAAAAAGAAAAGCAAAATATTTAAGGCACACAGAAATGGAAAATTGTTGAAGCTAATGTGTATGGTAATACCTTTGACTGAACCAATATACAGTGTATTCATGGTGGAAAAATTCATTTGGCATGCTGTAATGATACACAGTGATTGAATGTAAAAAAGTTAAATACATTTTTTAAAAGAAACTAAAAAAGTGATGGGTGAAGGAAAAAAGTGATGGAGGTAATACAGTTGATAATGTCCCATAATAATTTTGTTTTTAATCTCTGGAGTCTATTTCCCTTGTTATTTTATGTCCTTTAGATTCCACTGCTCTGTGTGTGTGTGTGTGTGTGTGTGTGTGTGTGTGTGTGTGTCAGAGAAAGAGAGAGAGAGAGAAAGTTTTGTTTGTTTGTTTTTTCCTATAGGGCATGTGCACTTGCCTGAAAGACACAGAGAGAGACAGAGACAGACAGTGAGAAATCACCCTCCAGGAGGGATGACCATGCTATAAACCCTTCTCCAATCTCCTCATGGGATTTGGGGCACACGTGTACACATGTCCAGTGTGAGTTTCAAGCCAACAGGTCCAGGACTCAAACTATGATCGACCATGTGGGAGTCCAGTGCCTTAACCATTGTGCCACCAGATCCCATTGCAATTGTTTCCTGTCACCTCCAACTATGATAGCCACCCTCTCCTGGAAACTGGTGGGACTTTCTCAGTGCCAGGAAAGGGCATTCTCTCAAGACTACTTCTTTCTTGGGTTTTCTATCCCTCCTCTAACACAGTTCTTCTTCTCTGGTTTAGTAATTAAAGTACAGTTTCTGGTATCACCTGGGAATGTTCTAGGAATGGAGGTTCTCAGGTCAGCTAGTGGTGCAGAGATTAAAGCAGCTGGATTCCACGTGGCCAATTCTGCAGTTCAAGTCCCAGAGCTGGCAGCTTGAAAATCACACCAGACATGTGTGCGTGCGTGTGTGTGTGTGTGTGTACCCAAAATTGCAAGAAGAGAATAGAGGAGAGGGGATTGTTGTGTGGCCATTCCCTATGGGGAGTGATTTCTCACTTCCTCTGTCTCTGTCTCTGTCTCTCTCCAGTAAGTGCACATGCCCTGAGCCTTATGGCAAAAACCTAAAATTAAAAAAAAAAAAGAAACAAACAAACAAACAAAAAAGAAGAAAGAAAAAAAATTGGTTAATAAAAAGAAAAAACAAAATGCAATGGAGAGGATCTATTGAATGTAGGACACATGCCAACCACTGGTTGATGTCCTTCTCTTCCTTTATAGATACACCAGTTCCATGGAGGAAGGAAACCACACAGGAGTTTTAGAGTTCATCCTCCTCGGACTCTCAGAGGATCCAGAACTGCAGCCCCTCATATTTGGGCTGTTCCTGTCCATGTACCTGGTCACCGTCCTTGGGAACCTACTCATTATCCTGGCCATCAGCTCTGACTCCCACCTGCACACCCCCATGTACTTCTTCCTCTCCAACCTGTCCTTGGTCGACATCTGTTTCAGCAGCACCATAGTCCCCAAGATGCTGGTGAACATCCAGACAGAGAACAAAGCCATCTCCTACATGGACTGCCTCACTCAGGTATATTTTTCCATGTTTTTTCCAATCCTGGACACTCTACTCCTCACTGCAATGGCCTATGACCGGTTTGTGGCCATCTGTCACCCCCTGCACTACATGGTCATCATGAACCCCCGCCTCTGTGGTCTGCTGGTTTTTATTACCTGGTTCACTGGTGTCATGACATCCCTCCTCCATATTTCTCTGACGATGTATCTGACTTTCTGTAAAGACCTCGAAATTCCACATTTCTTCTGTGAATTGACACAGATCCTGAAGTTGGCCTGCTCTGACACCTTCCTGAACAATACATTGATATATTTTATGACTGGCATGCTGGGTGTTTTCCCCCTCCTTGGGATTCTTTTCTCTTACTCACGAATCGCTTCTTCCATAAGGAAGATGCCTTCATCTGGGGGAAAACAAAAAGCATTTTCCACCTGTGGTTCTCACCTCTCAGTCGTTTCTTTATTTTATGGGACAGGCGTTGGGGTCCACTTCACCTCTGTGGTGACTCACTCACCCCAGAAAACTTCTGTCGCCTCAGTGATGTACACCGTGGTCACCCCCATGCTGAACCCCTTCATCTACAGCCTGAGGAACAAGGATGTGAAGGGGGCCCTGGGAAGACTCCTCAGCAGAGCAGCCTCTTGTCTGTAGTGGAGTCATCAGCCCTAGGACTAAGCATATGGGTACCAATGGAGGCAGAAATTGCCTTTTGATGTTCTTATTCCTCTTTTTTATTTTTTTTTTCAAATAATAGAAGGTGCATAAGAGAGAGACAGAGAATGAGAGAGAAGTACCCTCAACAAGGATCTCATCATGTTGTAATTTCCTTTCCCCAGCCCTCTACTTTGTCAGGGTCTCAGGATGTCATGCATCAGGCCTATCAAGGGATCTGAACCCACAGTGGCCACGTGGCTCACAACACTGCAACTACAGACTGTACCATCCAGGCTGAGTGTGATGTTCTTTCTCTCGACTTTCCCAAACCGTCTTGTTTTTATTTACCCAGACCTGGAGGAATTATAATTTTGCTCTCTCCTAGTTTTTACACACTATTTAATGACTCATTTCCCAGTAGTTTATTTGATGGTATTTCTGCCCTATCTACTGTCCAAAATGTATATCCTCAGTCATTTTTCTTCTATACTGGTGAGTTCTACACTTGTACTTGAAGCGTTTTGTTGGTTTGTTTGTTTTTTCCGATAGGAAATTGTTATCTCAAGTATTGCCCTAGAATTTTTCAACTATTGTTTGTTCACTTAATTTATTTCTATGTGTTTCCACGTAGATTTGTATTGTTTGTGTGTGTATATCACCAACAGTGTTTTTCAATTGAATAAAAGTATGATTAAAATGTATCTTAAAATATCATTGACATTTTAGTACTAATTGGGTGTTTATTATTATTATTATTATTATTCATACATTAAATCACTATACAACATTTAGATTGTGAAGAGACTTTACCCAGCATGATATACACCTCAGTCCAGCCTAGTTGAGACAAGCTAACTGCTCTCTACCGAGTATTTTCTCAGTAGGAATGAGTATCATCATCATTTTAGGTGAGGAAATTGATACTCTGAGAGATAATAATAATAAAAAGTAATTTCCCAAAGTTACAGTGGAACCCAAGTGGCAAAACCAGGACTCAAACCCAGAACTATGACCTCGAATCCATATTCTCTTTATCTCTTTATTTTATTATTTGTTCTCTTTATTTAATTATTTATTGTATAGTCTTTCTTTAAAAAAAAAATTCTTCAGACACATTTTATAGCCTGTAGTGGATAGGTCTTGCATACACTCTGTCATTTTGACTCATAAGTATTTCAAGAAATGGTATTTTATTCCTTATGATAAAGAGTGCATGTGTACACATGAGGGAGGAAGAGAGAGAGAAAAAGAGAAGCACTGTTGGCAAGGTCTTGTCAAATCATGATCCCTTTTCCCTAATCTTCCATCTCCTCAAGATCCTGGGTGCCTGTGTGTGTGCCTCTCTGCTGAAAGAAAGAAATAAACTTAAAAAAAAAAAGAAAAGAAAAAAAAGAAAAAGAGATAGAAAGGACAAGTAGAAATCATCCAGATCAAGAGATCAGAAAAGAAATTTATGAATCTGTGAGACTTGCATATCCAAAATGTATGAGTTAGAAAAGCTTTTGAAAAATGGAAAGAAAGGGCCAGCAGGTGACATGGAGGTTAAGGCATCTGGATCCCACAAAGCTTCCTCTGCCTTTCAAGTCTAGATCCAGCAGCTTGAAAATCACGCTAGGCCCGTGTATACACCCCAAATCCCAAAATCCTAAGAGGAGAATGGGAGAAAGGATTATAGCATGGCCAAACACCTGAGAGGTGATTTCTCGTTTTCCCTCTCTGTATCTCTCTCTAGCCAGTGCACTTGTCCTACAGAAAAAAAAAAGAAAGAAAGAAAGAAGAAAGAAAGAAAGAAAGAAAGGAAGGAAGGAAGGA